GATAGATAGATAGATAGATAGATAGATAGATAGATAGATAGATAGATGGATGGGAACATAGATAAATAGCTAGATACATAGGTAGATGATAGATAATCATTCACACTCTAATTGGAAGGCATCTAGGCATCCTATGCAATTATTTTCCCATTTAAACTTGATTCAACCACCTGGCATGGTGGCACACATCCGTAATCCCAGCACTCTGGCAGGCAGAGGGAGGCAGATCTCTGTGACTTTGAGGCCAGCCTGATCTACAAAGCAAGTCCAGGACAGCCAAGGCTACACAGAGAAGCCCTGTCTCAATAACAAAACAGAAAAACAAACAAACAAAAATTTGATTCAACCATTATTGCTAGAAATTTTTATATCCAAATCTAACCTTTAGTCAGAAAATTAAATACATGATTTTTTCTTCTTTTTTAAGACCCTATTTTTTATTTTTATATTTTATTTTTATTATTAATTATATTTTAACTCTGTATCCTGCTCCCTCATTCCCTCTCAATCCTACCTTCCCTCCCTCATTCTCCTCCCTGCCCCTTTCCAAGTCCACTGGTTGGGGAGGACCTCCTCCCCTTTCATCTGACCCTGTTTTATCAGATATCTTGGGGGGGGGGGGGTAAGATGCTCAATCCTCACTTAGAAAGACAAATGGAATGGGTATTTTTTTTCTTCTTAATCACATTTAGGTACTACTTTTCTTTCCTTGACTATTTGAAAATAAAATGTACTATTTGATCATCCAATATTATCTAATAAAATACAACTTTTTCTGGTAAAAGATAAAAGATGCAAATTTCTTTTTATTTTTGGGAATACTGTTCAACATTTTTTAAATAGATATACTATGAGATTCCTTCCTATCCAAACAGCAAAAAGTATAAAAATCTGATTTCTGTAATGCTGAAATAATGAAATCAAAAAGGAAATAATTTATTCAAAATAGAAACATTCCGCAAAAATTATTCAAGGTAATTTGATACATTAAACATAAATAGGAAGACATTTGCAAATGATTACAAGTAATATTAACTGAACTTAAATACTAAACGTTCTAAAGATATCAGTTTGTTCCAAATTAATTCCTATGCTAAGATTCCAATTAAATTAAAAATTTCTTAATTTGGGAAAAAGGAAAAAGAAAAAAACTAAGGAGAGGAAAAAGAAATGGAAACGGGATGGTGGGGGACAAGAGAGGAAGGTGGAGAGGAGGGGCAAGGAAAAGGAAAAAAAGGAGAGTAGAAGAGATACAGGAAAGAAAAGTAGGAAAGGGAAAATTTTCTGTGAATGGAAGGAACTATCTTGAAAGGGCATGCTTTAAAGCCACCAAAGAGGAAAACTGCTTAACTGCTAGTGAACAACTTCCTAGAGATCTCATGCTATTCTTTTTATTTTTGTTTGTTTGTTTATTTTGTTTTGTTTGTTGTTTGTTTTTTTCTCTGTGTGGCTATCCTGGACTCACTTTGTAGACCAGACTGGCCTGGAATTCACAAAGACCTCTGCTTCCCGGAGTGCTGGGATTACAGCTATCAGGCGTGCGACACTGCACGAGGCAGGAAAATTCTGTCTTAAGAGTATGACAGTCCACTGATAGGGGAAGACCTCCTTCCCTTTCATCTGACCCTGGTTTATCAGGTATCTTCAGGACTGGCTACAAAGTCCTCCTCTGTGGCCTAGTAGGGCTACTCCTCCCCCGGGGGTGGAGGAGTTCAAAAAGCCCTCCATTGAGTTCATGTCAGAAATAGTCCCTGTTCCCCTTACTAGGACACCCAGCTTGGATACTGAGCTATTATGGGCCACATCTGAGCAGAGGTTCTAGGTTATAATCATACATGGTCCTTGGTTGGAGAAACAGTCTCATAAAAGACCCCTGTTCCCAGATATATTTGGTCCTTGTGGAGCTCCTGTCCTCTCCAGGTCATACTAACTCCCCCTTCTTTCTTATGATTCCCTGCACTCTGCCAAAGGTTTGGTTTTGAGTCTTAGTATCTGTTTTGATACACTGATAGGTGGAGTCTTTCAGAGGTCCTCTGTGGTAGGCTCCTGTCCTGTTGCTTGCTTTCTCCTACATCCAATGCCCATCCCATTTGTCTTTCTAAGGGGCAGGGAGGAGATGAGGGAGGGAGGGTAGGATTGGGAGGGAATGAGGGAGTGGGATACAGATGGGATACAAGGTTAATAAACTGTAACTAATATTTAAAAAGAAGAAGAGGAGGAGGAGGAGGAAGAGGAGGAGGAAGAGGAGGAGGAGGAAGAAAAAAGTACTACAGTACCACAACCATCAGTGGAGTACTTTGGGCCCCTTTAGATTAACTTTCCAAACTGAAGGGAAAATACAGACTTTCCAAGCAGAGCCAAATGGGACCTGTTCTCCCTCTCTGTAGTAACCGCCAAAGGCTAGACTTAGTCCAGGAGGGAGGACGTCACTTTACCAAGACACCAATGAGCAGCAATGAGCCCAGAAAAACTAAAAAACATGTTTTGTCAGAATCTCTAAATAGCGACTGCAAAGGACAATAAAGGAGTACTTATGGATAACTGTGTGAGATGTGGCAGGGACAGAGACATGTGGAGGCTCTCCACAATGTTTTTTGAGCCAGGATGCCTCACTGAGACTGAAATGGGCAGTTTGGCTAGGTTGGCTGCCCAGTGAGCTTTGGAGCTCCCTCTGTCCCTCGCTCCCTAGTACTGGCTTACAATCACACACCCCAGTGCCTACCACTGTCTTGACTGACCCATCTCCCCGACTCCTGAAAGAACAGGTTGAGAATATAAAAGTGAAACACCAGACAACATTAACACGCACGATGGGAGAATGTTGCAATCAAGCATTCTGTGGCCCTTATACTGTCTGGAAAGACAAAAGAGCTACTGTGTGTGGCCTTTTTAAGTTTTGTCAGCAAACAGATGAGGTGGACTTAAATGGCCACCATCCCTTTCAGTGTGGAGACTCGATTCGTGAGTTTTGGTTAAACCTAAGATATTAATTAATTTCCGAGATGATCAAGAAAAGTATGAAGAAGTTTTCAAGCGAGTAGTGTTTTCTGTTCCATTTGCACTCAACTGATTCTTGTGGGCTCTGCTGTTCTTGAATCAGATTCTGTCCTGCTCTGGTTTCTGTAGACATCGCTCCGGCATTTTCTGCCATCAGTATCACTCTGGTGAAGCATGGACCTTTATCTCTACTTTTTAAGTTGCCTTTTAAAAAAATTTTTGGAATGAGTGGTTAAATAATTCTTTTATCTTTAAGACTCTGAATATTTTCACAAACATTTCACATAATTTGCTGCTATACTATGCTGTGAGGGGTTTCCTTTCTTATGCTTGAATATATTTGTATGTCCTTTGTTTCCTCTACTTAATGGCAGGAATTATTTTATTAATGAACATTTTACATCCTGTTAATTATTCTAATGATTATAATCTCTTTGTATCTTTTATTAGCCCAAATTATTACTGTTGATATTCAAAGTAATTCTTATTTGAGAAAAAAACAGTTAAATATATAATACATAATTATTATATGGATATGACATATATATATATATATATATATATATATATAATCAGTAGAATATGGACAGTATTCAAGGTATTTTTTCAATGAAAACTATAAA